TCTTAGGTATATACCCAGGAGAATTTAAAAACATATATTCACACAAAACCTTGTACGTAACTGTTCATAGCATTATTCATAGTATCCCAGAAGTGGAAACATCTCAAATTTCCATCAACTGATAAAAGGTGGTATATCCATACAAGAGAGCTTTTTCAGCCTTGTAAAGAAATAAAGTACTATTACATGTGACAACATAGATGAGCCTTGAACACATTGTCTAAATGAAAGAAGCCAGGCACAAAAGACCACATATTGCATGATTCCATCTATACAAAATATCCAGAATAGGCAAATTCACAAAGACACAAAGTAGATTAACAGCTGCCAGAGGCTGCTGGGAGCACGGGTTGCTAACAGTTATGGGATTTATTTTTGGGGTGATGAAAATGCTCTAGAATGAGTGGTGATCATTTTACAACATGTGAATATACTTAAAAACACTGAATTGTACATTTTATAATGGTGAGTTTTATGGTATGTGAATTATACCTCAATTTTTTTTTAGACAGAGTCTCACTCTGTCACCCAGGCTGGAGTGCAGTGGCACGATCTCTGCTCATTGCAATTTCTGCCTCCCGGGTTCTTGTAATTCTCCTGCCTCAGCCTCCCAAGTAGCTGGGACTACAGGCACATGCTGCAAATTTTTTGTATTTTAGTAGAGATGGGGTTTCACCATGTTGCCCAGGCTGGTCTCGAACTCCTGAGCTCAGGCAATCACAATCTGCCTGCCTTGGCCTCCTAGAGTGCTGGGATTACAGGCATGAGCCACTGCGCCTGGCCACCTCAATTTTTTTTAAAGTATCTGTGAGAGAAATAGAAAATGTGGGAAAGATTGAGAAGTTGTGAGAATCAAGAAACCTGTCCCAATCAATGGCTTTGCAAAACTATGGAAGGCCCAAAGGGAGACTAAATAGCAAGGCATAGTCAGGGAAAAACTCCATTTCCATTAGTAGCAGAGAGAAGTTACATGGATATCTCCCTTTAAGAGATTTTCTCATTTATACCACAAGTATTTATAGAGCATTTTACTCTGTGCCAGGCACTGTACTGGGCAATTGGGGTTTATCAGCAAACAGACAGAGATCCCTGTCCTTGGGAAGATCCTATTAAGGTAAGGGGAGACAGAACAATTTTAAAGATAATAACAAATAAGCAAATTATGGAGTATGCTTAATGCTTGAGTGCTAAGGAAAGAAGTAAAATTGGAGCAGGTTCAGGCCAATGGAGAATGATGGAGCAGGTGGCAGGCCGTGGTTAGAACAGGTCAGGGAAAGCCCTGCTTAGGACATGAGGATGGAGGCTGTGAGCCAAGCAGGTATCTAGAGGAAGAGCATTACTGGGGAGACAGGGCACTACAGCAGAGTCTCTTGCGAGCAAGTGCACCTGCCTGTGTGTGGAGCAGCAGTGGGGCCCGTGGGGCTAGCACAGAGCCAGGGATGGCGGCAGACATGTAGAACCTGGGGGCCATTATAAGGACTTGAGCTTTTAATCTGAGTGGCTGCAGAGCAGAAAAGTGACATGGACTTGCTTCTATTGCAAAGGGTCACCCTGGAAGCTGTGCTGTCCTTCTGTCCCTTTGCCAACTCCTCCCCCTCCAGCCTACCTCTGTAAATGTTGGAATTCTTGAGAGAGCCACGGGTCCTCTTTCCAAAGCTCTCTCCCTGGTGGGTGACCTCCTTTAGTCCCATGGCTGACTCTCTTGCTTACGCTCTAGCTCTGTAAACCCAACTCTTGCTTTTCATTGCCACTCGGATGTCTCAAAGGCACCTCAAATGTGTCCCAAGCAGATCTTGTTTGTACAGCCATCCACAGGTTGCTAAGCCAGAAATGGGGAAATGATCTGTGATGCTCTGTTCTCTTTGTGCACACATCTATCCAGACACAAAATCCTGTCAATCCCACCTCAGAGACAGTTCCTGAATCTGCCTCTCCTCTCTTTATTTCCATAGCTGCTATGTTGCTCCAAGCCACCTTCATTTATCCCCTGGCTATTGCAATAATCCCCTCCTGATTTCCCTGCATTCATTTTGCTTCCCTTCCAACCATTCGCACATTGAAGCCAAAGATATACATGAATTTATGGGCATGTACACATGCAGATGCACACACAAAATCATCATGTTACACTCTTGCCTAAAACCCTTCAATGGCTTCCTATTCATCTCAGCAGAACAATGTCCCAAATCCCTAAGATGGCACCTGCACCCTAGGTTATCTAGTCTCCAGCATTGGCTCATGATCCCTTCCGTTTTCCCGTTTGGGTTTCTTGCTATAGTTCTCACTCTGGAGCCTTTGCTTGTGTCCTCTGTCTGGAGGGTTCTGTCACTTTTACCCCTCCTTGGGTCTGACTGCCACTATCCAGTGCTGCTCTGCAGTTACAGGCACAAAAGTAACTTGAGGATCTTGTGAAAACACAAGTTTTAAGGTCAGGCAAGCAGAAGCTATACAGTAAGAAGGAAGCAGAACATCCAGAACCAAGCACGAGCAGGAGCAGGAGGAATAAACCAGCCACAGAAGCAGGTACCCCAGACACAGTGACCCACGCTGGTGTTTTATGTCTCTCCCTCCACTCACACCCAGCACTGCTAGACAGAGTGGAGGGGTCCTTAAGCTAATGGAGAAGGAAACAGACAGAGCTGAGTTCACAAGAGGGTTGGCTTCATACATGGGTACAATCCAGATATGTGGTATTGGCAGTATAACCCCTTTTAGAAGTGACAAGGGGAAATTTTCCCAATGGGCAGGGCTTTGGGGAGCACACTGATTGTCCATGTTATGTGGAAAACCGGAGTGGCCCAATCCAAGGTTAGGTTATACATGGAACAAATGGTTTGGCCAGCTGGTCAAGGGCCTGGGGGTGGGGGCTGGAAAATTATAAGACTGGGGACAAGATGGCATATGAATGGGCACATGAACTAGGCATGACGGGTGAAGATTTTTGTAACACAAGTTAACACCCAGTAGGAAGCTCCCAACATGAAACAGTTGCTAACCAATTAAGGGGACCAAATGACATGACCATGTGATATTAGCTAACTCTGTCACCTGTCACCCCAGTCAGTGCTGACCCAATGGTATCAGGGATGGAGACTGTGCATGGGCCCAACAGCATGGGCTCCCACTTGCCATGTAGCTGCTGCTGCTACTGGACATCCAGCCTGCCCCCAACATAGACAAAAGCTGGTCCCCAATTTGACACCATCCCTCTAGGAGACCAACTGGCCATTTGGTGGCAAGCTGACTACACTGAACCCTTTCTATCCTGGAAGGGGCAGTGTTTCACTTTTACATTTTCTGGATAAAGGTTTACCCTTCCTGCCTGCAAGGTCTTAGCCATCACCACTATCTAAGGGCTTACACAGTGTTAGATTAATCATCAAAAGATCCCATGTAACATCACACGGGGCCAATTTACAGCAAAGTAAAGGAATTTGCTTTACAGCAGCCTGGAAGTGAGTGCATGACCGTGGAACCTGCTGGTCACATCAGATGCTATCCTTCTTGGAACAGCTGGTCTGACAGAGCAATGAAGCAACCTGATGCAGTCACAGTTGGAATGGAATGCTAGCTAGAGGATGGCTCCCTCCTCCAGGATGCAGGATGCTTGAAAGTGAGCACTGTGTATGATGTTATGGATGGTTCAAACTGGCAGAGGACAGCTGGTCATTTATAGCAAATGATGGTTAGTACCTATTGTATATAATAAAATTCTTCAGATAGATAAATAAAGATCCTAATAGGAGAAAATAAAGAAGTGAAGAATAAATACAAATACTCACTAAATGTGTAGCAAGATGGATAACCTCACCAAACAAGAGAAATGCCTCCTATGAACTGTCACTTCCCCCACATAAGGGAAAACTGGACAGTAGGGATAGTGCTCAGAGCTGGAGAAGGCTGTGGATGTGATCTGTTGTATTAAGGAACACATTTTAGAAGGTGATTTAGTTGGATTCATCAATGTGCATAGCCTTCAACCCAGGAATTCCAACTCTAGGAATTTGTCCAAAAGAAATACTTGCTCATATGTGCAAAGATGAAATTAAGGATTTTCATCACAGCATTATTTATAATAATGAAAAATTTAAAACAATCTAAGGTAAATCAGTAGATGACTGTTAATAATTTATAACAATAATAAAAATAGTTTACTGAGAGCTTACTTTCCTATGTGCCAGGCACTGTTCTAAGCTTAACAACCCCAAGGGAGATACTCTTATTTTTGTCTATTTTACAGAAAGCAACTGAGGCACAGAGAGCCCAAATATTAGGTTGGTGCAAAAGTAATTGCAGTTTTTGCCATTGAAAGTAATGGCAAATACTGCAAATACTTTTGTGCCAACCTATAACTGGAAAAAAAAGGAAATTTTAAATTTGCATGAATAATTTGAGTCCACTTTTTAGAGAACATCAAAAATAATGTATGTATCTATCTATATTGAATGGGAAAATTCTGTACGGATACACAGGAATCTGATAACAGTTGCCTCTGCAAAGTAAACACTGGGATAGAGGATTTTCACTTTTTACTTTACATACTTTTTTTTTAAAAAAAAATAAGCCTTCTTTTGTGATTTAAAAACCAATTAAGAAAGAAGTACATTTATCATCAAGAAACTTCCCTGAATGTAGTTCCTTAGCACAATTTAGCTCCATGTCCCTGACTGAGGCAGGTTCTTGCTGCTGCTGTAAGAAGATAGCGTAAGGCTGGGTGCAGTAGCTCACACCTGTAATCTCAGCACTTTCGGAGGCTGAGGCGGGCAGATCTCTTGAGGCCAGGAGTTTGAGACCAGCCTGGGCAACCTGGTGAAACCCTATCTCTACTAAAAATACAAAAATTAGCCTAGCGTGGTGATAAGCACCTGTAATCCCAGCTACTCGGGAGGCTGAGGAAGGAGAATCGCTTGAACCCAGGAGGCAGAGTTTGCAATGAACCTACATAGAGCCATTACACTCCAGCCTGGGTGACTGAGTGAGACTACATCTCAAAAATAAAAGAGAGAGAGAGAGAGAGAGAGAGAGAGAGAGAGAGAGAGAGCTTATTCCAGTAGGTTGCCCCCAGGGCAAGGAGAAATATATATTATGTAAGGGCTAAATTGAAATTAAAGTTCCAGGTTGGCTTAAGGGAGGAGGAAAGTGGGCGTAACAGAGCAAGGTGGGGAGATAAGAGGGTTGGGAACATAGACAGACAGAATTTGATTGGACGAGCACACTCATTAGGCAGATACAAATGGCCCCTGGAGCAGCTCCATCCACATTGTTCATCCTTCTCCAGGGAGCATGTGGCAAACCTGTCAGGCAGACACAGGAACAGGGGCTTTTGCTAAAACTTCACAAGATGCAGCCAATGATGGAGACATAATGTCTCATTCCAAGGAGTCAGATGAAGTTGGTGTGTGTGTGTGTGTGTGTGTGTGTGTGTGAGAATGGAAGAAAAGGAAGTTTTCTACATTGCTATTAAATTCATATAAAGAAAGAAACCATGATAGAAGCAATCTTTTATTAATGTTTGCCAAGAAGATCCCAGGTTCAGGTGACTGGTGTGTGAGCTGCTGATTTGCTGTGTGACTGTGACAAACCTATATCAATCTGTATCTGTAGTTCTTAGGGGAAGGGGAGAAGAGAAGGCAGGAGGGAGGGAAAAAGGAGGAAGGGAAAGAAAGATGAGAAAGAGACAGAGAGAATCTCTGTAATGCCTGTAAAGGTGTCAGGATTATCAGATGCAAAGTGCTTGATTGTGTTGATAACTTCAGACCACATTTTGTAATTGCACCTGTATTCATCCAAGCCATCAGGCACTGACTTCTCTTTGCTGGGATTCTCTGCATCCCTCTCTTCCTCCCCACTCCCTCCACAGCTCTGCCTCCTTAAACCCTTGTACCAGCACCACCATTGCCACCGTACACAAACACACACAAATTAAGGGTCTCAAATCTTCCCATCATTTGCAAATAATTACACAACTTTCAACTAGCGAGAGTGGAAGAGAAGTCATCCAGAAAGCCAGGAATAAACTTCACAGTTCATTGACCTTTTAACATGTTCTCCTTTACACAGGGATTCTTAAGTCATTTAAGTGAATGGACCAAATAATTGTCTGGTCCCACTTTGCTTTGAATGCTTGAGATTTAGCTAAGGCATCATCTATGACTGGAATTGGAGCTCCTTGCTTTTCATTGTCCTTGACGCTGTGCCTGATGTGCAACCCAATATTCTTGTTTTTAGCACCATTGGCCAAGAGGAAGAGGTAGTTATAGCTGAAACCGAGCATACTGGCCCTGTGTATTGCGCACTCCACATGCAGCTATGAAAAGAAGGAGGCTCAGCGTGGTTATGTAATGTGCCCAAGGTCCCTCAGTTGACAAGCACTGAGGGACACTGGGTTTCATCCGACTGCTCCCAAAATTTGTTTTTTCTGCTGCTCCGTATTTCCTCCCCTAGGGAGATGGCAACTCTTCTAGAATTTCTCTATTAAAGGGAGGTGCTAGTGGATAGTACAAATGTTTTCCTGTGGATACCAAAAGAATGCTGTTTGTCTACTGCTGCCAAGGTCTTGTTTACTTAACTTTTCAAATCCGAGCAAAAAAACAAAGAAAAAAGAGTATGTTTTGCAAGTGGTTATGAGAATTCAAACCCTTACCTTAGTTCAAGTCTCCACTTCTTTTATTGAACTGTGAATGCAAGAATTTTGAAAGTGTATAGCTACTCATTATTTCATAACTTTTTACTATTTTCTTCAAGCCAGGATTGCATTACAATGCAAATTCTTGCTGGTTACCCTCTGAAACAAAGCCAAACATTTGTCCTGCCAAAAGAAAGCCAAATACACTACAGCATCATGTAACTCTATAATTGCTAAAGAAATGTTTAATCAAGCCAGGCAAATAAGATCAACCAACCTATTCTAAATGATTCTTGCTATTCAGAAATAATGGGCCACAGGAAAACTGCCTCAATCTATATAATCATTTCCTCTGTGCAGGTCGTTGAGAGAAATTCATACCCTGAAGTAAATTTATTGTTTTTTTCCTAAGAAAATATTATATCTTTTTGTTTAAGAAAGCTAAGCAAATTTAAAAAAAAGAAAACAACCTCTGGATACTGCAATTTCTCTTGCACTTATATAACATTTTCCTTCTATCATGCATAATTTCAGCTGGTCAGTGTGATGGCTGGTCAAATAATTACCTGCCCTCATAAAGCTTACATTCTGGTGAAGTTACTGAATGACTTGCCTTCAAGTTGGTCTCATTTAACTTCTTCCCCACACCTTCTGGGTTCTTTATAAAATCACACTAAAGATTGTCTGAAGGGTAATGAGTTAATTATCTGACCAACCATCACAGCTGACAAACTGAAATGGGCATAGGAACAAATAGAGACCATTTCAACTCCTGAGATTTTTTTTTAACAAGATAGCTTGGGGCTGGGTGTGGTGACTCACGCCTGTAATCTCAGCACTTTGGAAGGCTGCTGCTGGCAGATTGCCTGAGGTCAGGAGTTTGAGACCCCAACCTGGCCAACATAGTGGAACCCTATCGCTACTAAAAATACAAAAAATTAGCTGGACATGGTGCCAGGCGCCTGTAATTCTAGCTACTCGGGAGGCTGACGCAAGAGAATCGTTTGAACCCAGGAGGCAGAGGTTGTAGTGAGCTGAGATCATGCCATTGCACTCCAGCCTAGGCAACAAGAGTGAAACTCTGTCTTAAAAAGAAAAAAAGATAGTTTGGAAAGAAAAAAAAAATAGCTTTCTTAATTCCAAGTAGTAGCGTCTTTATTTTTAGGTAGCCATGCTATTATACTTTCAAAATCATTTATGTCATGGCCCAGCTCTAACACTTACTCAATTAATTACATTTATATCAAAGTAATCACCATTATAATCATCTAAACACATATTTTCTTTTTCTTTTTTAACACTGCTGCTGTCACTGTGTCAATTCTTTTTGGCTTTACTGTGTAAACTCTGAAGTCACTTCTCTGTCACTGCTCACTTGGTGCCGGCCTCCTTTTTTTGTAGGGCTGCTGTCACCACTATAGAGAGTGTAGGGAACACCTAAACCAGGATTCACTCAGTTCAGGTAAGACCACACTGGAGGATAACGGAGTGTGTAGATAGCTTCTTTCATTGTCTGGGTCATCACTTATGGTTTTAGAGGACACAGATGGCAGGTGAAGGTCTCTGTCTCTTTTACAGGAAGAAATATTACCCATTTCTTAATTTCCTTTTTCCTTCTGCAGCTTTATTGGTATTATTCGAGGTTTATTACACTTCCATAAAAATGTGGAGGAGGTGGTGAAAAGGGAGTGACTCTCAGCCTGTTGCTTCAGACCATCTCATTGCCTCAGGCAGGAATTTCTCTTCTAAGAATGCTTTGGATCCTGCCACAAAGACACACAAAAAAGGATGATTTACATCTATTATGGTTTCTATAATAAAATAAGAAAAAGAATTGGGCACAGTGGTGCACACCTGCAATCCTGGCACTTTGGGAGGCCAAGGCGGGAGGATTGTTTGAGCCCAGGAGTTCGAGAATGAGCCCAGGATTTCAAGAACAGCCCGGGCAACATAGCAAGACCCCATCTCTTTAAAAAAAAAAAAAAAAAGAAAAGAAAAAGAAAACTCAGCTGGGCATAGGGGTGTGCACCTGTAGTCCTAGCTACTGGGGAGGCTCAGATGGGAAGATCACAAGCCCAAGGGTTTGAGGCTGCAGTGAGCTATGATCAGGCCACTGTTCTACAGCCTGAGTGATAGAGCAAGACTTCATCTCTAAAAATAAATAAAAATTAAAATAATAAAGTAAAATGAGAAAAACAAGTATGCATATTCTATGTTTGGTTTTGTAAATAGTCATGCTGCCAATTCTAGCCAGAGAGAATAATTTTGTGACCTGGATGTTTTAATTTGGCATTTGTTGCTATGTAATAATCTTTGGTCAAGACTATAAATGTTGATAGAGGAGCCAGAAAATAAAGAAAAGAAGGAGAAAAAAAGAAAATATATGTTGAGTACCCCCCACCAAACCAAGTTATAAACCTTTGGATATAAAGACTATGTCTTATTTTAAAAATACCCTCTCCCACCACAAGGAATTGGCATTGCATAAAGGTTGTTGGCAAACCACTGGTCAAAGGTCACAGGGGAGGAATGTCAGTAGCCTGTTCATTCTTTGGCCCCAGGAAGCCCCTCACTACATCAGAGGCACACAGCAGGGTGTGTCAGTGTCAAGGCCAAGGTGTTTTTTTTTTTTGGAGGCAGAACCTTGTTCTGTCACCCAGGCTGGAGTGCAGTGGCACAATCTCTGTTCACTGCAACCTCTGTCTCCCGGGTTCAAGTGATTCTCCTGCCTCAGTCTCCCAAGTAGCTAGGATTACAGGCATATGCCACCACACCCAGCTTATTTTTGTATTTTTAGCAGAGTCAGGGTTTCACCATGTTGATCAGGCTGGTCAAATTCCTGACCTCAGGTGATTTGCCCACGCCACCCTCCCAAAGTGCTGGGATTACAGGTGTGAGCCACTGCGACTGACCAGGACCAAGATTTGATAAGATTTTTAAACTCACATACTGAAGTTACATTAGTAAGAATGCCCCTCCCAGGTCAGAACAAAAAGTGAGAAGTGGAAAAGCTGGAGCTCTCTTTGTGAAGAGACACCTTGGCAATAAGTCCCTCCAATTTAACTTTCTTTCAGGACAAGGAGCAAGTGAGAGCAGAATGAGGAGAGAGCACAGTAAAAGTAGGTAATCTCCATGTCTGTGGTCTTGGTTAAATCCAGTGTGCCCTTGAAGCAATGCACTCGGTTGACATTGAGGGCTTCCTTTCCCAACTACCTCAATGGAACTTTTTCCCAGAAAGCCTCCACTGGTCTCCAACTATTGAAGAGTATTGTCCTTAACAAGAGGAGCAGAGATGCTAGAGCATTTTCATCCAAGGGATCAGGCCAAAAGGCTCAACATAGATTTATTGATTGATCTTTATGATCACACTTCTTGAGTAGAGTGGGCAAGAATTATTCATTCCTACTTAGTAGGAAGGAAAACTGAGGCAGTCAGCCAGAAAGTAAAATCAATTTTCTGTATGACTGTTACATTCTTGGCACCACCACAATTGTTTCTGGTAGTTGTAGTGTTTTATATATATATATATATATATTTGGGTAGCATATGCTTATTGAAACAGCCTTTGTGTGGGTGTCTTTGATGGAATTGCAATGTTGTTGGAATGGCATTTGGAAATATTAGGACTTTAAAATCTTTCAATTATGTACTTAGAGCTAGCCAAAGAAGCAGTGACCTTTTGAGTTTTCTTTTTTTTTTAAATTTGTGGTGGCTATTGCTGCTGCTGTTGTTACTGAAGTATTATTAATGCTTATGAAATCACAGACTCTTAGGAATTGGGAAAAAATCACTATGACTCATAAACTTGCATGTAATTAAAATGCCTTAAGATCTTAAAAATGATATTTTCCTTTTTCCCTCTATGTGTCTATATGCTGTTTTGTCCTTTCAGAAACTTTTTTATTGTTATTAAATTTCACATATGCATTCTATCTAAAAGTCAAGATACTTTTAAATTTTTAGGCTGTTATTTACAAATCTGATAAACACTGCCTTCTGTCTTTATATAAGTCATTGACTAAAATATTGAAGAGAATAAGCCAAGCAGAGAACTATGAGAAAATCAACACTTAACATTGAACTGTTGTTTAATTAACTACAGGTCTTTCTGTGATGTGCATTTACGTTCCTATATCCTTTCCACAGAGGACCACAGGTGAGGCAAATGCCCCTTGAATCCCCATGCACTGTGTCTATGACATTGATCAGAGTCTCAGTCTAGAATTCTTATCCCAAAAGTGAATGAGACTAGTGTTCTTGAGGTATCCAATCTCCTCTTAGGAGCCATCATTCCTAGGCGCTGTGGTCAATAATCCATTCCAGAATAGATTCAGAAAATTGCTTGAGAATGAAGTCAACCTCATCTTAACCCTTCTTTTTGAAAACCAGGATCAATGGTTGCCTGTCTCCACTGTTCTAGCACCACTTTTGTTTATCATGATATCTCAAAAAGCTTACTGACCATGGTTTCACAGTCTCATCTACAAGTTATTTCACAGTCATCTTGTTACTCTGACCCCTTGAACAAATTTAAAGAAGCTAAATGCTCTTTTAAAATCTCCACATATCTTGGGCTTCAAGTCTCTTTTAACTGTGCTTGTCTGATGCTTTAGGTTCACCAAGCATTCATTTGTGAGAAATACAGAAGGAAAAATAGGAATGAGTTCTGCCTTCCCTCTGACACCTGTTAACGTTATTCCAGCTTCCTTGAGCTGTGTATGCGTTCTCTGTTTGATGCATTTTGTTGCTGATAGAATTTTCCTCAAAATCTATCTCAGTTTGATGTTTAGCCTCTTGACACTGCTCTGTGTCACACTTTTCTCTTCATCTCCAGTTTTGACCCACAGCTTTCATTTGTTCATCTTCTTTCTTTGCCTTTACTAATCAGAGATCAATCTGAGTACAGCCTTCTCTTATTTCTTCCTCATTTACACTTGCATCCTCCAAATTTCATTTCTGAGTGCTTCTTATGCCTTTTGTGCTATATATATTTTTTATAGTTTCTGGCCAATGGGAGAAGGCCCATTGCTGCTCTGTACCTTTTGAAATTGGCTTTTCACAGACCACAGCCCTGAAAAGCAAAACCCAAGACCCTGTCCCCCAAATTTCTGTCACTTTCACATCACAGAGTTTGCAGTTAACTTGGCAGCCATTCCTCTGATTGATTCCCCTTACTTTTGAGACATGAAAGAATTTTTTAGTCCCTCTTTTTTAAGAAGGGTGGTTGAAGGATACTTTTCCAGCCATAGCCTTCTGTTCCAGTTCTGTAATTTGCTTTGGAGATGCCCCATCTATACCTTTCACTGGACCTGATGGCCTGTGTTGTCCAACCCCCACTGTGAGTTAGAGATTGGTTCAATGGGTAGGATGGAAACAGAAGGATGAAGGAGTCCCACACTAGGGCTGCAGGAGGTGCTTTAAAACTAGGTGTTCAAACAGATACAAGAGTCAAAGACGAAGCTGCGTTCAATAAACAAGAAGAAAAGTTTCAGCATTTTGCCAAAAACTGAGGCAGATATCAAGAGTCAAGGAAGGCTGGGCACTGTGGCTCACACCTACAATCCCAATGCTTCAGAGGCCAAGACAGGTGGATCGCTTGAGGTCAGGAATTCAAGACCACCAGCGTGGCCAATATGGCAAAATTCCATCTACACAAAAATTACAAAAATTAGCCAGGCATGGTGGTGCACACCTGTAATTCTAGCTACTTGGGAGGCTGAGGCACAAGAATCACTTGAACCTGGGAGGCAGATGTTGCAGTGAGCCAAGATCACACCACTGCACTCCAGCCTGGCTGACAGAGCAAGACTCTGTCTCAAAAAAAAAAAAAAAAAAAAGTTGAGAAAGGAATAGTATGTCTGGACAATTACCTTCAGCAGGCATTGTGGCCCAGAATGTGAGCACAAGAGCACCTTAGGCAAATTTCTGGCTATTTGTCTCTCTTTAAGCTCTTATAATCTCTACCTCCTTCTTTACTATAAAGTTCCTGGATTTCCACTCACAAATAAAAGTATATATTTTTACACCATGGAAAACTATGCAGCCATAAAAAAGGAGATCATGTCTTTTGCAGGAACATGGATGGAACTGGAGGCCATTGTCCTTAGCAAACTAATGCAGGAACAGAAAGCCAAATACCACATGTTCTTACTTATAAGTGGAAGCTAAATGATGAGAGCACATAGACACATAGAGGGGAACAACACACAGTGGGGCCTATTGGAGGGTGGAGGGAGAGGATCAGGAGAAATAACTAATGAGTACGGGATTTAATAATCTGTACAACAAACTTCCATGACACAACTTTACCTATGTAACAAACCCACACATGTACTCTGAATTTAAAATAAAAGTTAAAAAAACTAATTAAACAAATAAGTAAATAAACCTGGCAATAACTCAAAAAAAGGTGTATATTTTATGATCAAGAAGTTCCTGGCTTCTGTGTTGGTTTTCTTTCTTTCCTTTCTCTCCTTGTCTCTCTCCTTCTTTCTTTCATTCATTCTCTTTCTTTCTTCTTTCTTTCTCTTTCTCCCTCCTTCCCTCCCTTTCTTTCTTTCTCTCTTTCTCTTCCTTCCTTTCGTTCCTTCTTTTTGCCTTTTCCTTCCATCCTTTCTTTCTTTCTCTTTCTCCTCCTTCCTTCCTTCCTTCCTTTCTCTCTCTCTCTCTCTCTGTCTCTCTCTCTCTCTCTCTCTCCCTCCCTCCCTCTCTCTCTCTCTCTTTCTCATTTGCCAGATTCCATTATTGAATCTTATCCCTCAAGGTATTGGTGATGCCCATTAGATATTAGTAGCTTCGTTGCACCAAAATTGCAAATCCTTCTTCTTTATCACCTACAGCCTATACTTTGATTTCTAGACACCACAATGACAGCTAATTTTATTGGGTATTTTCCATGTACCAGACACTATTCTCTGTTAAGTACTATATGCTAATTGTACAGATGAAGAAACAGAAGTACAAAATGGTGAAGTTACAGCCCAATGTTGTACAACTGGCAAGTGGAAAAGTCAGAAGCTGAACTCTGGTAATTTGCTCATAGAATCCATGTTCTTAACCACCTCATCAAAACTAGATATTTCTCCAAGATCATTTTTCTTGTCATTTTCTCTGGAGAATTACCAGACCTCCTTTATTATTATTCTTTCTTCCACAATATAACTAGTGCCTTCTTTGTTTTCGTATTTTAGTTCCATCTATGTACATTTTTAGTATCCTAACTTCTTTCTTTAACGTATTCATGCACTTCGCTATAAGCATTAATGGAGCACCTATTGTGTTATTAGCAGTAGGCCTGTGGTCCTTAACTTTAAAAAGAATCTGTCCTGACCAGGGGTTCTGATGCAGGTTCAATTAATGTCTTTAAGGAGTCTATGAACCCACAAAGTGTTGTGCAAAGTGTTGTGTATACATTCACTTATGACTTTGAGAGTCTGTATGAGAACCACTGGCCTAAAACAATACAGAAATAATGATGATACAATGATATCTGATTAGATCCGAGACCTGTACTTCTGAACGTGCTTTTTCAATCTTTCTAAGAAATACTACCTTTGTGTCAGGCCATTCTTTCCAATATTTTAAGATATTTTAATACCATCCACTGCTATCAAAAACTGCAAAAGGTCTGAGATTTTACCCTACTTACAAATTAACAACTCAGCCCATCACAGTGAGATAGATGCTAACAGAAGACACAAGTCTCCTGGGTCACGGAAAATAGACTTGATTACTCACAGCAACAACATAGCTAGAGCTGTAGATTGCACCAGCTCCCTGATCCTCAATTCCTACAAGGCAATGTGAAGAGTACCAGCGGACGCCTGCTTGTGCAATGAGTTTCATTACAGGAGACAAACCCTGAACTTAGCTCAAATCTTTCATAATGGGTGGTAAGGCTCTGAGAAGGTGACATTATTTGTTCTACTGGACAGTATGCATTCCTGTTATTCTTCTGTGGGGAGACATTGTCTTTATCTTCAACACTGTTTGTTATACAAGCATCCTTGAAAAGATATTCTGGAACAAAAGCAGTCAGTGCCTCTGCTCACAAGGTGTGCACATCTCTAGCATGTGACTCGTACCCCCTGTAGGAATCTGTCTTTTGTCCTTTCTCCTCATTAATTCACTGTTCTGCACCCTTGCCAAGAGTGTACCCCAGAACTGAATCTTAAATGTCATCTGATAACACTAGTTCAATCTTGAAAAACAACTGAGATTTTTAATAAGATTTTGGGGGGGAAGAGTGATGTGAGACCTACCTATGAATGAGAAAGACATGTCAGGGCAGAAACGTCAGGGGTCTTTGGGTCAAAACATTGTGTATTTCCTTCTTCCCAGGTAATTTATGCTGCTGTACCGGACAGAGACCCATTGTAGATAGTGGGAAATATTTTAGTCCTGTGCGTATGAATCAGCTGATAGCTGCAGAGCCAACAGTTCCGGATTAAGTCGCAAAGCATCGTGTGCATTATGCAGGATTGGTTTTCAAGAAAAGCACAATATTGTGTCTTAGAGAGAAATGGTTTACATTTTACCCAACTCAGTGATGGTAACTAGGTATTTTTCTCAGAAACACAGACAGGTAGCACCTTAATAGCTTTTTGAAACTGAAGTTTATAAAATAACATATTTCAAGTGAAAACAAATTAGGCCATCTTCCTTACCCCTTGCTTTGTGACAGGAAAATACAGAGACAGTCCATTTCTCATACTGTCATTTCAGCAGCACTTTTTGTTGAGTCATAGCCAAAGTTAAACATGTTTGTGAAATAAATGCCTATGTCCTCTTGGAACATGGTTCCATCTTTGATTAGTACTCATGGTAGATGGGAAGAGAGAAGGAACATTTTCATCTTTTATGCTGTATAGAATCAGTAGCCATCAGCAATGCACAGCAATCGTAAAGCATTAGTTTCAGACCCTCCTCTGCCCACTTCTTCCACATCCCATGCTCTGAAAAACACAGTTTCTCCACATTCACACAGAACACTTCTGACACCAGATGTGTGGGGTTTTTTCCATACCAACCAATTCTCCAATCTCCAGACACCGGTTGGTATCCTACAGTTTAATCCAATTCTGACTCTATCTACCAGGAGTTAATGGCAAATCCCACAAGGTAAGGGCTCAGTCTCACAAGATCCCCTACATCACATGCCAATACCAAATCTGGGCCTCCAATATTTCTGACCTACCAGCTATAAACTGAGGGCTCCCACAAACTCCTCCTTGGGCTTGGTAATTTGCTAGAATGACTCACAGAACTCAGGGAAACACTTTACTTACATTTACTGGTTTATTATAAAGATATTGTCAAGGACACAGATGAACAGCCCCATGAAAGGTACATAGAGCAAGGTCCAGAGGGCCCTGGGCATAGGAGCTCCTGTCTCGGTGGAGTTGAGATGCGTCAGCTTCCTGAAACGCGGATGCATTCACCAACCCACAAGGCCATAAATCTCCTTGTTTAACAGTCTGTATAGAGCTTTATCTCCATCCCCACTGTTCACTCAGAGACAGGTGGGTGGAAGACCCTCCAATCACTTGGTCTCTCTGCTCACCAGCGCCATCCTGAGGCCATCTAGGGGCCCTAACCTAAGATGTCGCATTAGCATAAACTCAGGTGTGATCCAGAGGCTCATGATGAACAACAAAAGACACCCCTATAACTCAGAAAATTCCAAGCGTTTTGGGGCCTCTGTGCCAAGAACCAATGGGGGACAAAGACCAAATTTTTTTTATTATACCTCCCTGGGGGGGAACAACCTATAGGAAGTAGCTAAGAAAGACTATGGGATTATTAATTTAAGAAATACAAACTTTTTTTAAAAGGTAAGTTATAAACTGCAGATATTATATATCCAGAGATGTTTAGCTTACTATATTGTTAAAAGACTACGGAAAGTGAGAAAAAGAATGATGACAAAGGGGACATGCAAATAATACAGCTATGTGCTCCATAAGACATTTCAGTCCATGACAGGCAGCATATATGATGGTGGTCCCATAAGATTATAATAATATACTTTTACTGTGCCTTTTCTATGTTTAAATAGACAAATACTTACCATCACATTATAATTACCTACAGTATTTAGGAGAGTAACATGCTGTACAAGGTTGCAGCCTAGGAACAATAGGCTGTACTATCCAGCCTCACTGTGTACTAGGCTCTACATCTAGGTTTGCATAAGTACACTCCATGATCGCACAATGACAAAATCACCTAACACATTTCTCTGGACGTATCCCTATCCTGAAGCAACACATGACTGTATATCTAAAAGAAACATTAAAGAATGGAGACTACAGAGCTATGCAAACAAAATTGACATGAATAATTGATGTCAAACATTTATTATTCTGCATAGCAGTTATAAATATTATGATTACTATCTACCTGAGCTGGAGAAGTAAGACAAATTACAATGAGATCTATTTATTTATTTGATCATTTTTCAATTCAATTCAATTCTTTCATTCATTATTTGAAATTATTTGGAAACTTCCATCATCACCTATACAGTCAGCCCTCCTTATCTGTGGGTTCCACATCCTTGCATTCAACCAGTCACAGATAAAATATATTTAAGAAAAACATAACAATAACAATACAAGGCCAGGCACAGTGGTTCATGCCCATAATTCCAGCATTTGGGGAGGTCTTGGCAGGTGGTTTGCTTGAGCTCAAAAGTTCGAGACTAGCCTGGGCAACATGGCAAAACCCCATCTCTACAAAAAAATACATAAAATTAGCCAGGCATGGTGGCATGCACCTGTAGTCCTGCTTACTTGTGAGGCTGAGGTGGGAGGATCATTTCAGCCAAAGAGGCGGAGGTTGCAGTGAGCTGTGATCACATCACTGTACTCCAGCCTGGGCAACAGCGTAAGATTTTGTCAAAAAGAAAAAGAAAAAAAAACAGTAAAATAACACAGTACAACAACTACTCACATAGCATTTCCATTGTATTAGGTAGTAAAAGGAATCTAGAGATGAGTTCAAGGATTCAGGAGGATGTGTGTAGGTTACATGAAAATACTATTCCATTTTATATAGGAGACTTGAACATCTGCAGATTTTGGTATTATGGGTAGTTCTGGAACCAATCCCCCACAGGTACTGAGGGATGACTATATTTCATTTCCAGTTTCCCTGTGGATTTAAAGACTACCTGAATCTATTTAATTGGATAGACTGCTGGGTCAGATAAGCATGGAGAAAAGATCAATGCCAGATTCCCAGACTGAAATAAAGGGAGGAGCCATAGCTTCAGCAGAATGAAAAATTCTTCAGTAGAGCCCAATCCCTGTGTCTTGGTGGCAACTCAGTGGATATTGCTCTAATTTAGGAGGCACCAGGGGCACCAGATTTTTCAGTCCTCCTTGGGGCAACCTGCTCCCTGCTTCTCCTCCCTCCTCCCTGAACCATAGCACACCACCACCACCACCATCATTACCTCTAGTGGTATTTTACAACGCCAAGATTCTCTGATTTTTCCATTCTTGTTTTCTTCTATAGAGTTCATTTGGCTGCCAAATGAATGGAGAAGATAAATGTTGCTTGGATCAAGAAGTAAGCAAGCTCTGAGAACAATCGAGTATAAGTCTTTCCTTTTCTGTCCTCTTTTACCTGTTTTATGACCATGAATTCCATTATCGGAATGCATAGTTTAATTCTGATTCCACTATCATGTAACCATTTTAAGCCTCTGTTTCTTTATCTGTAAAATGAGATTATGACTATAAAGAGTAAATTATATCATGTCTGTAAAACATAAAATATGATGCTGAGCACATACTGTCTGGCTTCAGTGCAGTCCTTTGATCTATGATGATGAACCCCTGACTATTAGGGCTTGGTGTATTGGTGGAAGAAGCTTTCGGAGTTCTAAAAACAATTCTCTTTCTCTCAGTTCTTCTATTCCTTTCCTTCCGTTGTCCCTCAATCATTGCAAAACCAAGTCTACCTGGGAGAAAAGAACCCCCCATACAGAGCCTGCAGGGTATAGTAATTATTCAAACATGTCACCAGCATGGTGACACCAGCCTTGGCAAGAGAGGACCTAGCTTGAATCCTAGCTTTGTAACTTTCCAGCTCAAGTTTAATTTCCTCCTCAGTATAACTGGGATAATATTTCAAAGGAGTTGTTGGGAAGGCTAAATGACAGACATAAATGAGGTGCATAAAGTCCCAAGTACAGTGACTGTGCATAGTAATTGCTTATTGGATGCCAGTTTTTCCTGATAAATGAAGTTCAGAATTGCCCTTAGAGCCAATCTTGGCAAGAGATGGCTCAGAAGGCTGTAGAAATTAGAAAATGTCCAAGGAATTAAAAATTTCTGTGTATACATTCTTCAACCCAGCAATTTCGCCACCAGGAATCTACTCTAGGGGAATAATTGAAGGCAAAAAAAATATTTATTATATAAATAGATATTTTTCACAATGTTATTTACAATTACGAAAAAATTAGAGATAAACTGAATGTCCAACAATAGGGAATTGCTTAAGTATTTCATGGCATAACCATATGATTGGAATTTATACTATCTTGGAAAATCTTTTTTGTGTAATATTTAAAGAATCTGAAAATAAAAATGAGTTGAAGTGAAAAAATTAAAAATTAAGCACTCTAATGCCAGATTTATAGAAAAATGGATAAACAAAATATAAGCACATACATACAGGGTGATCATAAAGAGTGGATGGAAATACACATAACATTGATAGTGATTATCTCTACATAGTTGTATTATGAGGTAATTTTATTCCCTTCTGTAGATTTTTCAGCAATTCTACGTGATTATTTTTACATGAACATGCATTAATTTTATAATCATATGGAAAAAAGTGCTTAAACAAAAAGAAATTCCTAGGGATGTTACAGTAATTAGAGCAGAAATACAATTCCCTCTAGAATCCAAATTTGCTTGATTCTTAGTTATATTTGAAAGGAGAGGGGAAAACTTTAAAGTCTGGTGCAGACTGTTAACCAAGTGGACATCAAATATCACTGCCTGCAGTTACAGGAGGGTCAGACTTCCCTGCAGCATTTGCAGGCCCAAAGCAAGAATATAAGGGGAAGACATCTCATTCTCTTCTCTTCCCACCCCAACTCTGTCCTACATTGCTGGCATCACAGATTGGACACCCAGTTCACCTGTCCAAGCTCCATCCATTCCCCAAACAGCTGCCCCTTGGCAACAGCTCAGGCCTAGGAGTGAGCTGCTAGATGGGTATCTGTCCTCCCTGGGAGGAGAAACTACAGCAGAGGCCCATGTGGGCTGTGAAAGTGGATTTTGGGGCTTTGGGGAAGGAAAGTCCAAGGCCATTAGTGCCCACAGCCTGTGGCTCAGAGATGGAGTACAGGCTGTGGGTGGAATGTCCCTTGACCCTGGGGTCTCCTTGCTCCTTGGGGATGAGCACGGTGAGAGGGGGCCACAACAGGGGCCCAGAGACCTAGAACCTAAGGGCAATACTGGGAATGGGTTCCTTGAAGCAACATCAACTCCTTTGATGCTTCTGACACCAATAGAAATATAAATAAGAACAAACTCCAGGATGAGGGCCTCATCTCTCAGAGGCATAAAAAATAACATTACAAAAAAAAATCTAGTAAGGTACTTAATTTAAACATTACTTATTCTTCAGCTATTATTTTCCCTACTTCACCTCCCCGCAACCTATCAACTAATCATGCTGAAGTCCCAATAGAACTGGTCAACTTCTTATTGGTGAACTTCCTGAAACTGTCAGAGCTGGCTTGGGAGGTTCTGGGCAGATCTGTTAGAAAGCATTTCTTATATTGAGCTGAGATCTGCTGTCCTGCCACTTCCACATGTAGACTAACCCTGGGTAAACCTGTACCTCATCTATGAGACAGCCTTTCCCATAGATGCAGCTGCTTTCATTCCCACTTACCTTCTGCATTCATCCTCCCTGTCTCCTTCCTAGCTAAGTTATCTTCATGCACTTTCTTCACCTAATGCCTCGTCCATTCCTGAGACTCCAAGTGACATCTCCATGTTTCCTAAATCCATTTCTGCTTCTGCTCTCTTTCTCGACCCTTCCCTCACATACCTCGTCCTGAGTTCGTCGTAACCCTCACCTTACTCTCTCCTAACTTCCGTATTAATGCTCTTGCTACTATCACTTTTGATTTTTCTCCCCTACAGCCAAGGCTTGACGATGGTCTCATGCATCAGTCCGCAGGCTCATCTGTCCCTTGTCCTCTATACTTATACTCCCTGAGTCCAGACCATCTTCATTTATGCTGCAATTATTGCAACAGATTCTCTATCCGGTCGCCTTCCTTCCAACGCTTCTCATGCAACCTAACTCATAGCAGGGTCTCAAATTTCCCAGAATTGCGTAGGAAGCTTCTTCAAAATGTTTTCACCTGAGATTCCCCTCCATTTTACTGGATTAGAACCACCTGTAATATGGCCAAGGACTAGTTGTGAACTTTTACAAACCTCCGTAGGTGATGGATGCAGCCAGTCTGCAGGCCTAGAATTGGGAACGACTACGTACCACAGTCAAATTCATCTTCTAGAAATATTGGTTCAGAAGTTCAGAGCGGCTCTCCCAGGCTCCAGAATTCTGTTTCAAATCTGAGGCCTGCTTTGAAGACTCTCCACAGACCTGTCTGACCTGCCTCTCTTCAGTCTCCTGCCAACCTCCCCCATGTTGCCAAGAGGATCTGCTTGCCTTCTTTCTACACCCAGGGAACAGCATCCCATCTGATTCTGTGCTGGCTCCATTCCCTGTCCCTTCCCTCCTCCCTCCCTTGCTTCTGGGGGATGGGCATGGTGAAAGGGGGCCAGAGGACCCAGTGACCCAGGGCCTAAAGGCAACACTGGGAATGGGCTCCTTGAAGCAGCATTGGATGTTTCTGACACCAGGAGAAATGTAAATAAGAACAAGCTCCCCAGGAGGAGGCTCTACAGCCCTTTGCTCCCTGGCCGCCTGGGGAGCTTGTGTTTGTACCAGTCCCTGACGCTCAGCTCCTGCCACTCCTCCTTGCAGTTCATCCTCCTCCAGTTGCCCATAGACAGCAGCTGCTTAACAGCTGCCAGTTGCCTTCCGCTCCTCCCACCCCCAGCCTTCTCCAGTCAGAATGCAATTGCAGGGCTGGGCTGTCTCCCAGCACCCTGTGTCTCCAGTACCCAGTTCAGGCCCATCAGACAGGAGAAACTCAACACTAGGCTGTTAACAATCATGACACTCTTCAAACTCTGACTGTTTTTACGGAAAAACTGAGACAATAAATTTGTTCCCCTTAATATTTGTACCAAATTGTATAAAAAAAGAAGAATGTCCGCCCCTAGACCCAACCCAGAAATGTACTGTTTCCATCTGAACTAACGGTATCTTCTCTTTCTTTTGATTTATTTCTGCTTTTATGCCAACTTTGAGGAAATAAACAGTCCCATCAGCCCATCTGCAGCTGTGCCTTCACCACCGTCTGCCCCCAAGGGGGCCTTTGTACAACTGTCACCCTTAGGAACCTATGAAAAGCATTTTTTGTCCCAGACATGGCCCCGGGTGGATTCCCCTTTTCCCTATCTTTCATCTCATGGAACTCCTCTTGCTCTGGTCCAGGGCAGGACCTTTGCAGAGTCCATTCTGCCACACAAGCATCTCTGTGAAGCCAGAAGGAAAAACCAGGATGTGCGTGATGAGCAGGCAAGGGCGGTGACAGCCTTCCTGTCTCCCAGAGCAGCTCCATACAGATTGACAGCATTTAGCTGCCCCCTTTTCTTTTATTTTGTTAACATTTCCTTTAGACAGTCCTTAGACTCACCTGTATTTGTTTCACAAACTTTTGTTAGAAGACTTCTAAATGCCAGGCACTGAGCTGCCCACTTGGGATACAGGAACGAAAACCAGTTGCCCCTAAGGAGCTCACAGGCCAGTGAGGAGACAGACACACATGTCAGTAACCACCAGCAGCAGAACATGAAGACGGTTATACGTGAGACTTGTGAACCAGGCTCTGGGAGTATAGCAGAGAGCAAGGGATAGGGTAGGGTGAGCATTCAGAGAGAGGCTTTGCAAAGAGTTAAGCTGGAGCTAAACTTTAATTATCAACAGATGTTGTCAGGATGTGGGGAAAGAGAATAAATGGGACATGGAGAGAAAATTTGAGGCAAGGTAAAAAATCATGTGCATTGGTCTGTGGCTTTGCAGAATGTGGAAATTTTTTTTTAAAGGGTGATTACAAATGATAAGGGCATGGCATGTTAGAAAGTTCACTGTGACACCCACCTTCACCCCATAGTAGGAGGCTGGAAAGGGAGGTGGAGGCCAGGAGGTGGGACTTTAATACAGATTGGATGGGCAGAAATTTTTTGCACAGGCAATGGGGCACCATTAAAGGACTTTGAATGGGGGAAAGTCGTATCATATTTACTACTGCGAAAGATCCCTCTGGCTGTTGTATGGAGAAAAGATTAGGAGGAACACAAGTGAATGCAGGGTAACAGATGGTTACCACAGTGGCCCAGGAAAGGGGCACTGGTATCTACAATTACGATGCTGCAGGTGGAGATGGAGAGAAGGGGACAGATGGGAGAGATGTTTAAGAGGCAAAACCAATAGAGCTTGGTGGTGCATTGGATAGAGAAGGGTGACAAGAAGGAGGGTCAGGAGTGACTCCTAGACTTAGCGTTTACAAAGTAAGAGGCTGAGTTAGGAATTCTGGAGTAGAACAGCCTTCCGGGGGACAGATCAGGAATCTGGATTTTCACATACTAGTTGGAGATTCTTTTAAGAAATCCAAAGGGGAATATCAAG